CATACCCAACCCCCTAGTCAAAGATGAAAAGCTTCATCATCATTTTAGGAGATGTCAAAATGGGACTTGACATAATTCAGCATCCGTTCCTTATCAAAACTCTCAGTAAAGTAGGAATACATGGATATTTGGATATTGCGCTAACAGATGGCAATCAATCCCAATCCAAGGACAAAACATCCTATCCAATGGTAGAACATTAAAAGCATTCCCATTAAGATAGAAAAAGCATAATAATGATCCCTGTCACCATTATAAAAAAAAAATGTCCTAGAATTTCTAGCCAATGCAATAACTGAAAAATAATCATCATGTAATTGTTACAAAATACCTGTTATAAAAAATAATAATAGGGAAGAGTTAAGGGCCCATCGCAAAATAATTTACAAAAATGTATAGCTTTCTTAATATCAACAGTAGCCAGTTGGAAAATATGATATTTGAAAAGAGCAATCAAAGCACAAGATACAAATAAGTGAATATAAATTTGTTGAAACAATGTGAAGAAAACTTCACATCTTTGTTGAAGAACATAAAATAAGATATGAATAGACAAATATATATACCAAGTCTGTGTATGGGAAGATTCAGTACTACAAGGATGTCTGCTACTTCTCAAATAATTTAAAAGTTAAACGTAAATCTAAATTACCTCCAGTTTGATTTTTGTTTTACTTGTATCTAATGTCTTTAAGTTCATATCATTTAAGCAGCTGTTAAAGATTTAATAACCTAAATGTCCAGCAATATGGGGTTGGTGAAATAAATTGCAGCTCATCTAAATGAGAGAAAACTGCATACTTTATTTAAAATCATGTTTTACAAAAACAGTGACATTGAAAATTTCAGATACAATTCTCAGTGAAAATCAGATTCAAAAAATAGTATAAACAGTGATTGATATGTGTATATTCGCGTGTATATGTTTATGTGTATATACATGAATGAGCCAGATACATATTTGTTCCCATATATATTCCTATTCATGTATATACTCATTATCTTTCTTTTCTGTGTCTTTTTTCTTATAAAGGTTTTATTTACTTATTTGAGAGAGAGCGAGCACACGAGAGGGGGGAGGGTTCTCTTTTCTCCATGACCTGGGAGGCTCGCTTGGGTGGCATCAGACACTTTCCCTTGCCCGCCCTCCCTCCCCTTCCCTCCCTCTCTCCTCCCACTCTGTCCCTCCCTCCCTCCTTTTCCCTCCTCTCTCTCTCTCTCTCTCTCTCTCTCTCTCTCTCTTCTCCTTCCCTCTCTTCTCTCTGCCTTCCTTCTTCCAACCGCAGTTTCCAGGGGTGGAAACAGAGACACCCCAGCCGCACCCAGCCCAACTGTGCTACCAGCCCAGGGGAAGGCAATCTCTCTTTATAAAGAGTTCCTTTCCTTAGTTCCCCTTAAATTAGCCAGGATGTTATATCATCTTTTTGGCCTGCAGGGACGCTGACTAATACAGTAATCAAAAATAAAAAGATAACAGCCCAGCAGAAACGTCGGCAAAGGTCAATACCCAACAATTCACGAAACAAGAAACTCAAATTGCTTAAAAACATGAAAAAAACCAGTATCACTAGTAAATATGTATATGCACCTATATGAATTAAACCAATGTTACCGCATTTTCAGCCTGTCAAATTAAAAAAACAATTTTTTTTTAACGTGACCAATGCTGAATGGGAGCGAACATAAACGTTCTCCAACACTGAAAGCTGGAATTGGAATTTCTGGGGAAGCTGATAGTATGTACAAAGAACACTAAATATGTGCCCTGCCCTTTGACCCAGCAAATCCATTCCCAAAGAGCTAATCCAAGCTTTTCACGAAGATCTATGTGAAGAATGTCCTGCAAAGCATTATCCACGTGGTTAATTTGTGGAAAGGTTTCCAGAAATTGAATGTTTGACATCAAATTCTGTTTGAGAAGAATAACAAGCGACATTCTCTCATGCCTCTTTTTTTTTTAATTTTTTATTAACATATAATGTATTATTTCAGGGGTACAGGTCTATGTCTCATGCCTCTTTTTAAAACTTCTGCCTGTGCTAGTTCCAACATATGTCCCAAACCCGGTCACCTGCCACCATCTCTGCTGTTGAGAGTCCTGGCCCCCAGCTGGCTCAGTCTCCTCCCTGAACAACTGTGTAGCCTGCCCTGCCGCAGTGGGGCCAGCCGCAAAAAGCTCTTGGAGCAAAACCACATCATTTCACTCCCTGCCCAAAACCCTCCAGGGGCTTCCCCTTGGACGTTAGAATGATATCAAACCGTCCGTCCCCTGTGGCTCTGGATCCTCCCTGGAGCTCTGATCCTGACTGGCTCTCCTGCCCCACCTCTACCACCCTCCCGACCCCACTCTACAGAGAAGGAGAAATTGGAGTAAAAACTTGGAGAAGAGCGAATGCATCAGGCAGCAGGGACAGCAAGAGCCTGATGGCAGGAGTGGGGTGCAGAAACCAAGCATGTGGGCTGTTGGCTTGCTCAAATCCCCGTCTACCTTCTGAGAACTGTTTCTTCCATCCCGCGTTCCTCTTAGGAGAACCATATCGGGCTGCCCTGCAGTGACTGGCGACAGGAGCCCCACCTAACTAAACAAGATCATTTCCCAGGACAGTTTTTTAAAGATTGATTGATTGATTGATTGATTTAGAGCATGCAAGTGGGGGGGGGGCAAAGGGAGAGGGAGAGAGAGAATCTCAAGCGGCCTCCCCACTGAGCAAGGAGCCCGACACAGGGTTCAATCCCAGGACCCTGAGATCATGACCTGAGCTGCAACCAAGGGTCGGCCGCTTAACCGACGGAGCCACCCAGGCGCCCCCTCCCAGGACATTTTTATTTCCACTTGCTCTGGAGAAAAAGTCTCCTCCCCTTCTGGTTGCAAAGTGATGGCCGTGACCTTTAGCTGCCGAGCCCCATTCATTGCAGGTGATTGTTGAACACCCATGTTGATGAGCACCTGCTGCATGCCAGTTTCTGTTCTAGGCACTGGGGCGACAGTGGTTAACAAGACTGATGAGGTCCCTGTTCTCATCCTCAGATGAGGATATGGAAATTCAATAAGGGAAAAGTTGGTGATCATTTCTGATGGCCCTGAGTTCTCTGCAGATCATCAGGGTGCTGATAGAAAATGATGAGAAGGGGAAGCTGACGAGAAAGTCCTTCTGAGTGGGCAACGTCTGAATTCTGAATTGAGATCTTGATGAATGAGAAGGGATAAGCCACGCAAATAGCTTAGCAAGAAGTGTTCCAGGCAGGGGTCCTGGGGTGGGGACGAGCTTGCAGTCAATGCGTTGGAAGGAGGTGACCGTGGCTAGAGCTCAGGGACAGACAGAGACAATGGCACAGGCTGACAGCAGAGGGGTAGGTGGTATGCCTTGCATCACAAGGAAACTGCTGTGTGAAACAGAAGTGTGCGCAAGGAGAAGCAGAAACGAGAGAAGATCCAGAGAGCCCATAAATGCTCTGAACACAGGTCCACTTGTCCTTACAGCCAGCTCCCAGCTCATCGCCCTCAGATACTTGAGCGAAAAAGTCCCCTTTGTACTTGAGCTGGGTCTTCTGTCACTACTACCAGAAAGGCTGTGAGTAATTTACTGAGAGAGACTGAATATAAAGAAGACTAGAAGAAATTACATGGAAATATTAATGGCGACATACCTGGGTTGTAGGATTCCATTTCATCTCTATATGTTTTTATATTTTCTTAATTCAGGACATTGAGCATGCTGAACTTAAACTAGTTTAAAATCGTGGGGTTTTGGGGGCGCCTGGGTGGCTCAGTCATTAAGCGTCTGCCTTCGGCTCAGGTCATGGTCCCAGGGTCCTGGGATCGAGCCCCGCATCGGGCTCCCCGCTGAGCAAGGAGCCTGCTTCTCCCTCTGCCTGCCGCTCCCCCTGCTTGTACATGTTCCCTCTCTCCTGTCAAATAAATAAATAAAATCTTTAAAAAAAAATCGTGGGGTTTTGTTTCTGACTCTGCCCCCTCCCCCCCGCATGTACATTGTCCTCCCATCCCTGCCTCTGATGAGTTTTCATGACCAAATGTGAAGATAGTTTCAGAAGCAAAGAGCATCTTCCCATGCGCTTTCATTAGGTGCGAGAAGTAATCCCCTCCCCCCTGCCGTTTGTAGATTTTCAGGCCCTCTTGGGCTGGAAATTAATTTGGCATAGGGGCCATAATCTTTGAAATCAGGACTTTTCCCCCACTTCCAAAATCAGCCCCCCAAAACAAGAGCTTTTCAGGTCATGGACTTCTCACGGATGGTCATGACAAACCTTAAATCAACTTCACACGCATTTAAGACACAGCTTCACTCACAGATGAGTGCATCCCCCTGCTTCCAGTTTATAGATGGAAGTACAGAGACCTGGAGAGTTGAAGTGACTTGCCAAGGCCGGTCGGCCGTATCTTTCTGGTGCAAGTGATGCTTGGAGCAGAGGACGACCCCACATCTAAGCAGGGGCAGTGACTGTGCCCGGCTTTCGGTCTGAATTATTTCCTGGCGGAAACTGTCACTTTGCTATCAGGACAGTCAAGTGTAGTTAGAATAAGCTCATGGAACAAAGCAGTTTAATTTAAGAAAAACAAAATTTGTTGGGTTACAGGGCTAGTCTCTTCAATCCAAGATGGGAAATTAATTTATAATAACCTTATCTTTTATTCATAGCATGCTGCCTATTTCAGAGTATATTGGCATCCTTCTATTTTTCTGTTGAATGTGAAATAATTGGGTGTTTCTAATGGGCTGTGAGTGGCCTTAAAGGACTGAACAAACAGAGCTGAATCTCGGTTAGCCATTCGGGGTTGGGGGGGGGTGTCTGAAGCCACTGGGGAGTAGTTTTGGTTTCCTTCGGATGAGTCATGACATTTAAACTTCCAAGGGCTCCGCAGGCTTCAAAGCAGCCCTTTCAGAATGATCGCCCTGGAACCCAAGTCCACGAGCGGCCGAGGACAAAGAAAGCCCGTCCGCTTTTCGCTTTTCCCTAACCACCTCATCCTCTCTCCGCAGACCAACCTGACCGAGCTGAAGTCGTTTGGGGCCCCGCCTCCAGCTGTCAGCAACGTCAGTGCGGCGGTGATGACCCTCACGGCCCCCGGGGGCCGGGTGCCCAAGGACCGGAGCTGGAAGGCCGCCAAGATCACCATGGCCAAAGTGGACAGTTTCCTGGACTCCCTCATCAACTTCGACAAGGAGAACATTCCCGAGAGCTGCCTCAAGGCCATCAGGCCGTACCTGCAGGATCCAGAGTTCCGCCCCGAGTTCGTGGCCACCAAGTCGTACGCGGCTGCGGGTCTCTGCTCCTGGGTCATCAACATCGTGCGGTTCTACGAGGTCTTCTGCGACGTGGAACCCAAGCGCCAGGCGTTGAGCAGAGCCACTGCAGACCTCACTGCCGCCCAGGAGAATCTGGCAGCCATAAAAGCCAAAATCACCGTAAGTGAGGCCGGAGTCCCCCCACCCACCCCAGCCCACGGGGCAGCCTCTGGTGCCAACTGCATGTGCCCCCACATCCCAGCGCCCAAATGTCCCGGTTTTGAAAAAGAGGCAGGGAAACCAAAGTGGGATGCCAAAGCTCCTGACTTTTCAACTGAGGCACCTTTTGCTCTTTCTCAAATACTCTACAGTCCATGTGAGACAAATCCAGCAGACCGTTGGTCTTCTGTGATCTGCAGTGTTCTATGGAAGCTTTTAGAAGCAAGTAGTACATTGTGGTTTGGGGGGTGGTCCCTTGACCATAAATGTAAAATGGCGAGGGTCACTAGCTTTTATTAACTTCTTGGTGATGTTTGGAGTAGATCTGCCTCTCTCTGGACTGGGGGGTGGGGTGATCGTGGACTTACACCTGTTTCAGAGAGATTCCCCCCTTGAACTTCACCTTTGCCTTTAAAACGGATACAACCAAAACTAGAAATCTGAATCCCTCAGGACGGGAGAGCAGCTGAAAACCCAATCCGAGCTGTACCATTTGCAGATGTATGACCTTTAGAAAGGTCTTTAAAATGCCCACACTTCAGTTTCCTGAAGTAAAATGGACACAGTAACCTCTCGCTTATTGAGATCATAGTGACGAGGAGAAGAGAGCGTGCCCACAGAGCCACGTGGGGCTGAGGCCACTGCCACGGTCACCATGACCATTGCTACCCTACCTCTGCTCTCCCTCCTTCTCCCAAGACATGTGCTAGCTCTGGTGATCGGTCACTCCTGTGATCAAGTGCAGTCCAAAACACTTCCTGGGGCTTTCCTTTCTGCACATGCATTTCCAGGCAAATAAGAGCCTTGTGGCAGATTGGTCAAAAGGGCTTTATAGATGGTGAGAAGTGAGCTCCATATGACACGGGTGTATTGACTGCTAGATTAAATTCTGTGGCTGAGGGCACTAGTTCAAAGAACCTTGCCACCGATCTCTCTCTCTCTCAAGAAAAGATACTTGGGCAAAGCAGCTAATCTCTCAGTATGTTGGCTTCATAAATCCAGATGTTCAGGGGCCAGTCTACTTAAAACAGGTGATGATCACCTTAACAATGGCCCTCTTCAAAGAACACCCAGGGCAGAACCCCTGAACACCCCCATGGCTGATTTTGAAGGGCAAAATCCTCCTGATAATTTTTGTATTCTGCAGTCTCTCCCAGAAAAATGTTTTAAGAACTGCATTTTCAAAGATTTTTCTTTTTTTACTCAAGTTATTTTAACTAAAGGAACATTTGGTGCAAAGGGAATGTTTTCAAAATGTTTATACCTATTCACTAGCCAACATTCACATGATGGGCCCACTCAACCTGTGAAAGCAATAAGCATATCTTTCAAAGACTTGGCTACCTTAGGAAGACACTTCTTTTCTGCCAAAATATTTTTTTTTAATGTATTCTTGCTTTTAACAACTTCCTCTCCATGCTTTCCTCATCCACATGCCTATCAGCATCCCAAGAGTTTGGACACTCCCCCCACTAACGACAGAGGCCTGATACCCACCCCTAAGGTGAGGCCCACCCCGGGCAAGGAAATTTTTCCCTCCGTGACCCTGAGGACATTGCCAGCCTCCTCCGGTCCCCAAGCCTTATTTTTAGGATTTTAGGATAATTCCAAGTAAAGAATATTATATCCAAGACGAAGTTTCTTTTTTTAGGAAGCGTATATCCAGACCGATTATCAAATACATCAAAACATGGATAGTGGCACTTTTATCTAGGTGTTATATTTTGGATGGGTTTTGCGTATTAGATATTTTCCTTTTTTCTGTAATGAGCATATATTAATGTAACAATTTATAAAAAGAATGGTAATAAAAACAAGTAAGGCATTTTCACAGAGCTCATACTGACACGTAAGTAAAATATCAGAGAAAGCCATCTAATGAGAAACCACAGCTTTCCGCCCTTTGCATGCTTGTGTCTGTCTCAAAGGACTGGTCAAGCTACTCAGGGCCTTCATACTAGTAGCTTCTGCGCGTTTCCTTTGGCCCACACTCACTCCGTCTTTGTCAGTGATTTCGTGAACCACCAGTATTTAAATCAACAGGAGATTTTCGTAAAAATCTGATTTCTGGCTGGTCCTAAAATCTTCAGATTCCTGAATATCATGAACCAATCCTAGAGTTGGGTAGCACCTTCCCATCCAACCCAGGTCTGTCCCAGGTTCCCACCAATGCCTGTGTTTTTCAATGCCAGCCTCCCCTGACCAGCTTCCATCGTCTTCCTGGCCCCGGCTCCTGTCTCTGTACTGTGCAGGCATCCCTGTTTCTTGATATACCTTAGGCAGGCAGGTTGGCACTCTGCCAGATGAGGCACTAAGATGTTTATCCGTGTGTCTTCTTGATACCGTCAGGACAACTAGTTTTAGTTGACGTAACCTGTATTTCTTGTCCTGGCATATAGAGGCAGCTTCCTTGGAACCGTCTGTTTTCAAGATAAAATTGTTACCCGTTCCTTCAGCTCTTCCCCCGACCTCCCGCCTCCCACCTTCTCTTACCATTACTGACTGTTACTTTTGCTTTTGAGTCACCGAGACGCAAAATATCTCCGTTCTGTTCTGCAACCAAAATTAAGTGTCCCATGTTCTGTTCACTGACTGACTGGGAAAGCTGAAAAATCAGTAAATTCCCTTTGCCTTCTATGAACCTTCCTATATTGTTCATAGCAGATCTAACTGGTCCATTAGAATTATGTTTCCCTTTTTTATAGAAATTAGTATTTATTAGTAACAATCCACAAAATGCTATTTGGGCTAATAAATTCTGAAAATGTGAAGGATATACAATAAACAGGCAAAAATCACTATTTCTATATGTAAGCATTGAACAGTCCAAAAAGGAGATTAAGAAAATAGTTCTTTTTATTCGAGGATAGTTGACACACAATGTTGTATGAGTTTCAGAGGTACAGCATAGTGATGGGACAAGTTTCTATGTTCTGCTCTGCTCACCACAAGTATAGCCACCACCTGTCACCACATAGCGCTATTACAACATCATTGACTGCATGTTCCCTATGCTGTGCCTTTCATCCCCATGATTCAGTCATTCTGAAACTGGAAGCCTGGACCTCCCACTCCCCTTCACCCACTTTTGCCCACCCTCACTTCCTGCTCCCCTCTGGCCACCATCAGTTTATTCTCTGTATTTATAGGTCTGAGTCTGCTTCTTGTTTAAGACAATTCTATGTTTAATTCATTTCCTTTTTTTTTATACAATTTTCCCCCTCCCCCTGGAGTTTCCACTTGCCTTTGTGTTTTCTTTCTCTGCCTTTCGTTCCTTTTGCATAGCCTCAATTTCCCTTCAACTCTCCATGCAATCCAGTACCCTACCACTTCCATTTTTGCCCTCAAGACCTTTCACTCTTGGGGCACCTGGGTGGCTCAGTCGTTAAGCATCTGCCTTCGGCTCACATCATGATCCCGGGGTCCTGAGATCGAGCCCTGCATCAGGCTCCCTGCTCCACGGGGAGTCTCGTCTCCCTCTCCCGCTCCCCCTTGTTTGTGTTCCCTCTCTCGCCATGTCTCTCTCTGTCAAATAAATAAATCTTTAAAAAGAGATTTTTAAACTGATCAGGCAGTTATGCTGAGTACTGGATTCTGAGGCTAGTTTATTTTATCCCCCTTAGAACACTGAATGCCTTACCCTTTTCTCTAGTGAGAAGTTGGAGGAGCAGTCAGGGTCCCATTCCTTTGTCAATGCACTGTTTCCACCTTTCTGAAAGTCTTTACATTTTTTTTCTTTATTCTTTTTTTTTCTTGAGAGAGCACGAGTGGAGGAAGGGGCAGAGGGAGAGAGAGAAAGAGAATCCCAGGCTCCATGCCCAGTGCCAAGCCCATGTGGAGTTCGATCTTATGACCATGAAATCATGACCTGAACCAATATCAAGAGTCATACGCTTAACCAGTCAAGCTACCTAGGCACCCCTTTCTCTTTATTCTTGGTTTCTGAAACTTTGCATTGATGTGCTTAGCTGCCATTTTTTAGATTCACTGTACTCAGCATGTGGAGACTTCTTTTCTTTGACTCTGGAAAGTTATTTTGTATTATTTCTTTGGTAATCTCCCTTCTGTTTACTTTTTGATCTTATTTTCTAGAATGCATGTTTGTTGGCTGTTGGACCTTCTGTTGAGTCCTTTGTTTCCTCGGAGTCACTTTATGTTTTCTTATACTTTCTAGATTTCCTCAAATTCGTCTTTTAACCCTTCCCTTTACTTTATGATTTTTTTTTACATTAACAAGAAAATAACGTCTGCAACAGTTTTTTTTTTCCCTCTGTTCCTTTTGCTAGCATTCTCTTCTTGTTTTATGGATGAAGCATCTTGAATTTTCCCAGGAAACTCTTCATAAAGGGTTTTATGCTTTACTGTGCCCTTGTGATGAAAGTTATCTCTTTTCTCAGGTGGTTTTTTTCCCCCTCTTGTTTACCTTAATCTAGCCTTCATTAAATGGCTTCTTGTCCTTTCATGTTTAAAAGAGTAGTGCTCAAAAGCTGGTTATAGCTCTGCAAGCAAGGGCAGAGCTGACTGAGAGGCAGAATTTGTTTTCAGGATCAGTTGAATAATGTCGGATGCATCCTCGATGCCAGAATGTGCTGTCTTCCCTCTGCCACTACTGAATCTCCTGCTGGCGACACGAATGCCTGGTGACATTGGACACTGGGCCTGGGGGTGGAGATGGGCATAGAGGATCAGTCAGCTTCCAGTGAACCTCTCTTACTTCCAGCACCCCCTCCATCCCACCTGACATTTCCAAATCCCCATTGCATGCCCCCTTTGGTGAATTGAGGCCCGCACTGTGTTGCAGCTTCCTGTGCCCTCCTCTGGCCGTTCCCACTCCTCTGTGAGCCCAGTCTAACATAAATCGATTGGAAACCCTCACTCTCCAGTGACCCTCAACAGTTGATTAGCGTTAAGGATTTATGATGTTTTCAAAATTATTTTAGAGAAGTCTTGGGAAGAAGAGGAAGTAAATGAGTGTGGCCAGTCTGCCATCGTCAATCGATGGCTCACCACCTGCTTTTCAAACTGCTTGGCTGTATAAACTTGGCCCTTGATTTGTTTCTCTTGGGACATGGTAATGGCCAGCAAAGCAGCCCAAATCCCAGTTACTGCGTAGACATGAGACATATTTAGAGGCATCTACCATGTGTCCCTATGTCTTCGTGTATGTAAATACGTATTCTGAGGGCAACACAAGCTACGTGCTTCAATTCTAAACTCTTGATGAATTTAGAAAACATCGAAACCGTGTCTTCTTACAAAATTCTCCTCTACTTCAGGATAATTGGACAGAATAGGTGAGGTTAAGCAAAAGTTACCTGTCCTCCTAGGACCTGAAAGCAAGAGGATTTAGGCTGCACACGGCCCAATCCCAAACCCTAGACTTCCAGTGGGAGGACCCTCCCAGGACCCCTGGCATCCTAATGACCATTTTCAGGCCACCCCAGGCTTTGGTGCACTTTTGCTTTTAATAGCACACTGGTATATTTTTTTGGCAGGCCCCTACAACCCTTTTTTTTCCACTACAAGGAGAGACAGAATTTATGCTCCCCACCCCGCCCCCATGTCCATCACCCCTCTTAGCCCCACACCAAGGACCAAGGTAGGAAAAAGCTCAGCTCTCTCACTTGGGTCAGGACTGGCCTAGGCTTCCCCCAGGACTGCACCTGAGATCACCCCTAATTTGCCTACCTTTCCTTCTCTGCCCTGCCTTCTCCAGTCCCTTACAGCTCTCCTGCCCTGGGAGGGCCTTCCTTAAAAACCACCTACACATGACTCTATCTCGGCCCCACTGGAGGTGATGACTTAGGCTGGAATTACCGATAGACCTTGTGTTCCTTCCTAAACAGCACCTTAATGAAAACCTGGCCAAACTCACAGCCAAGTTCGAGAAAGCAACGGCAGATAAACTCAAATGTCAGCAAGAAGCTGAAGTGACTGCAGGCACCATCTCCCTTGCAAATCGCCTGGTGAGTGTGAGCCTCAGCAGCCTGAGCCATAATTATATTAGCTGAGCTCGTCAAGTGCTGCTGAGGTACAAAATAGATGAGCACAGCTTAGTTCTGCTTTGACTTGGGGGGAAATATTAAAATGTACTAGGATTGAGGGGGGGCGGGGTAGGGGGAGCAGATATTAAAATGTGCTGGGTTGCAGGGCCTGAGTCCTGAGAAGTGTGAATGCACACCCTGGTCTGGTCAAGAGAGTTTCCCTACAGAGACGTTTGGGAGGATGGGAGCCCTTGATCTATCAGACAGCGGGGTGAGACGTGACATGCTTACGTGCATATATGCGCCTCGACCAGAGGAAGCCTTACAAGACAAAGCTAGCCACCCGACAGGCAAGCTCTGCAGCTCTTAACTGTGGAATGTTTGATGATAAAGGCATGACCAGGATTAGGGACTGAGACAGAAGCAGAGAAGAATGACACCTCTTGACCCTGAGCATCTGTGAGCATAACCTTGCCCATGCGCATGGGTACACTCACACGTGTGCACACAAACATACACATACACACGCAGGCTCTGGCTTCCCTAAGAGAGGAAATCTGAGGGTCACAGCAGGCTGTGTGTCTCATGGGTGTCTGCTAACAAACTACCCCGAAACTTAGTGATATAACACAACCACCATTTCGTTGTCTCTTGCAAGTTTGTGGGTCAGGAATTTGGGCAGGTTGCAACTGGCAGGTTCTCGGCTCTGGGTGGTACCTACTGGGGCCACTGAGTGGCCGGCTGGTTTGTCCCACGCACCTCGGCAGGAACCACTAGAAGGGCAGAGCTTCCCCCATGTAGTCTCAGGCCTCTGTACTTAGACGTTTTACACGGGGACTCAGGGCTCCAAGCACAAGGGTTCTAAGAGGAAGTAGAAGTTTCCAGTCTCTTAAGGCCTGGGACCAAAAGCCAAACACAGTATCCCTTCCACCACGTTCTATTGGCCAAAGCAGTCTCAGGTTCAGGGAGGAGGAGCATAGGCAGCAACTCTTTTTTGATTTTATTTAATTATTTTAGAAAGAGAACGAGAGCACAGGAAGAGAGGTGGGGGGCGGGGAGGGAGCCTGACTAAGGGCTTGATCCCACAACTCTGAGATCATGACCCGAGCCAAAACCAAGAGTGGGATGCTTAACTGAATGAACCATCCCGGCACCCCAGGTGCCAATTCTTGTTGAAGGGCGTGTCAAAGAATTCATAGCCTTTTTGAAATCCCCCATGGCTTATATTTCTTGTCCTAAGTCAGCTAAGATCCTGCAAAGCAGTGTCCGCTGGGCATGTTTTCTCTTCCACAGAGAGCCTTTACAGCACTTTGGTCTCCAATGATGGGAGGTGGAGTCGATACCTTTTTACTTTTATTCCAGCCACAGTGTGTTTCTAAAATGAAGACAGCTTTTTCTCGTTGAAGGAGAAACGAGTCACAGCATGATGGAACTGAGCTGTGCTTTAGTGAGGAAAGGCTCTTCCACAGGAGTGTGTCTGTGTACTTGTTTGTTGGACCTGCTCTTGCATTGCGTTGAGATGATCATTTGAACTGAACAATTCAGTTTAGAGATAGCTCTTCCGCAAAGAGGCAAGAAGCATTCCAGACCTCTTAGCTGGCCTGTCTTCCATCCCATTTTCTGTTTCGTTTGCAGAACTTAGCAGAGCCTTCTTTGCCTGGGTGAAGCATTTTCTGAATCGGTCCCCTTGGAAGGCAGGCAGGGTGTACAGGCTCTGAATCCAACCCCGTCTCTACCCACCTAGAGGTCCTGGCCCGATACTTCAACATTCTGGTCTTTATCTGTGTCATCTATAAACAGGCATGGGAATGATTGGGTTGGCCCATTCAGCTGTGACATTCTACGATGCCATCTTTCGAGGAAGGACGAGGGGTCAGTCATAACACAGACTCAGCTCTGCCATATCCATAGAAAGGAGGCCTCTCCTCCCCGGAGAGGGGTCCCCACGGAGAGGTGTGCCCTACCAAAGTGGGGCAGACACAGTCAGGACGTGTTCCACCATCTTGATACTTTGTGCACACCCATGTTCTGGTACCTCTAACTCTGTCTTAATTACCGTGTCTATCTGCCCACCCACTGTGAATTATTTATAGCGCCTGGAAGGGATTTTATTTATTTTCCGATTCCCAGCACTTGGCGAGGAGAAGGGGGAGAACACATAATAGGTCCTGCAGCCCAGGCACTGCGCTAGGTGATGAACGTACATGATCACATTTAATTTTCTCCCCAGCTCTTGGAGGTGGGTGGTATTTGTCTTCATGCCTTATAAAGGGCAGAGCCCGGAAGCCTGCGCTCAAAGCCTGTAGTCCATCTGCAGCCCACATGATGCTCAGCACAGAATAGGTGTGTTTACTGAGTGTGTGCTGTGGCCAGTACAAGTCCCCAGTGACCCAAAGGGCCACATAGGTGATGACCCGAGTCTTCTGGTATCAGACGTGCACTGTGCATTCTCTGTGACTGAGTCCATGGCACTATGTAGAGCCTGTGGGATGATGAGCCTTCTCTCCTGTCTGGTCCCTGAACTCGTAGGTGGGAGGACTTGCCTCTGAGAACGTGAGGTGGGCAGAAGCCGTGCAGAACTTCCGACACCAGGAGAGCAAGTTATGTGGAGACATTCTACTCACCACGGCTTTTGTGTCCTACCTCGGCTTCTTTACGAAGAGATACCGGCAGAGCCTCCTGGACGGGACCTGGAGACCCTACCTGAGCCGGCTGGAAGTAGGTACAGCCTGAATTTCTCCTGACCTCACCAGCCTGGGGCTACCAGTGAGCTCACGGGACACTGACCTTCCAGATCTTCTTGTTCCTTCTTGCCGACTTCCTCCCACCACGCCCACCTGAGCATTCACCTGCATGTGACATAGGCACCCATGTTCTTCCTTCTGCTCACCCACGTTCCCTTCCACTGCCCTCTGGGCCACCTGAGGACAAGATCTCTCCTCTCCATTGGGCTCTCCAGAGACACTCTGATCCACTGCCCAGCAGGCTGCCTCGAAACTATAAAACTCAAGAGGCATCCGAAGCACCCTGTGTGTTCCCTCCAGTCTCCCTGCTCTTGAGCCAAACTTCAGAGCCATGGGAGGGCCAAGATCCTGGTCATGGGAACCCGGACACCCTTATGCAAACAGCTCTGCCTGCTTCGGTCATGTGTCCTCAGCTTGTCCTCCTAGTATAAGTGGGTGGATTTTGCTCCCCACCCCTCCATTTCTACTGAGATGATTGCGGGGGGCAATGCTGGTCCCTGGCTGAAAGGGGCTCAGGGCTGGAGCCTATAGTCAGAATAATTCCTAACCTTGTCCACTTTGTCATCACTCGTCATTCTCGATCCACAGATGTTCACTGAGGGTTCCGCATGTCCTCCCTCTCCACCAGACAGGAGGACAAAAGCCGTTCAAAGACCCACACGCCCACAGGAAGGTCACCGTCCCGTAGAGGAGGTTAGGTTCACAGAAAGTGGCTGCAGTGAGTCAGCCCAAAAGTTCACTACGTACAGAAGAGTTGTATTCCAGAATGTGTCCATAGGCAGATCCTCAGAACATAAAACTCTTATTCTCTGGTGACGGTTGGTTCCATAGATCAGCTCCCAAAACCTTACTCACTTGATGATTTGTTAAATAGTGATATAAAAACTATTATGGAAATACATACGTACATACATGCCCTTACGGCACTAGGAAAGAAACAAAAATAAAGCTGCTATTTATTTATCTTGGACACCATGGGAAAGGAAATTGTTAAAAGAGTGAGGAGCTCAAGGGCAGCTCAGTGGGGATTTTTCTGGCTTTTGGGGGGTTCCTAAGCATTTTTAGGCCGTGACCCCTTTGGTGCTCCAGTGAGACCTACGGATTTCTTCTCACAGGAATGTTTTTAGTGCATAAAATGGACCTGAAATACATTCCTGATCCCAGGATAAGAACCTCCAGAGGCAGATCTTGCTTTCAAGGTTTGTTTGATGGTAGAGTGCTGGCCATCCGATACCCTAGTGAGTGAGATTAAGGGAAAGGGGCTAGATTGGACACGCTTTCCTGAGGTAACAGGGGAGACAAACCACAGAGGAGAGAGGGACGGAGAGGTTAAAGGGTCATGTGTGTGTGTGTGTGAACCTCGAAAACATTTTACTAAGAGAAAGCAGCCAGACGCAGAAAGTTACCTGTTGTATGACTCCATTTATGTGAACTATTCAGAAGAGGTAAATAGAAAGTAGACTAGTGGTTGCTGGGAGCTGGGGTAGAGGGGAATGAGGAGGGCCTGCCAAAGGGTATGGGGTTCCTTTAGGGCTGAGGACACTGTATTGGAACCAGATAGAGCTGGTGGTCGCACAGCATTGTGAAGGACCAAATGCCATTGAATCGTGCACTCTAAAATGGTGCATGTAAGTGACATGGATTTTACCCCAGTTAAAAAGGTATGCGTGTCCCCAGTGGAAAATCTTAGCTGTAGGAGAATTGAATGAGCTGAGAGAGGTCAACAGAAAAGAAAAGGAGGGATCTGGGGCACACACGGGGGCCACAGAGGGAACCAGGTCCCAGGGAGGCATCCTCGGGCCCGGAGGTGCACTGGCGGGCTTCCCAGCATGCACCAGCAAGCGAGTCTGCAGCGGGAGGTCATGCGGGCGACCCCAGAAGTGGGGGGTGTTCTGGACTGGGAGAAAGGGGAGCATCTCCGGTTCTTTGCAAGCTGGGCCTCTGTCAGCAGGTGGTGAGTGCCATGCATGACGGAAAGGGTGATGTGGGCTGGCACAGGTGGGGGAAGCCCAGCCAGGCCTGGGGTCTGCTCCGGAGAGCATGCACGAGAATCAGAACGCAGGGGGAAAGGGGCCCTATTAACACGAGTAAGGGCAGGGAGGAGACTGTTGATAATACACACATAATCTATGCTAGAAATTCAATTTAGGCGAGTATACCCAAGAACGAAGGGTCACAGAGGCCGGATCTCTGCTGCTGTTCCTCCATCAAGAGAAAAAAAGGCTCTCGGGACTTGAAGAAAACCTGCTTCCAGAAATAATCACGAAACCAGAAAGCACGCTTCTGGGGGGATTTTGATCGTGCTTTTGAAGGAGCTGTGCCGACTTCGGGAGCCCCTGGGCGTCTCCCCTGTTCCCCCACCTTCTGCTCTGAGCGGGTGTCCTGCTTCTGCCTCATCAGGTCCCCATCCCCGTCACCCCCACCCTGGATCCCCTAAGGATGCTGACGGATGATGCCGATGTGGCCGCCTGGCAGGACCAGGGCCTCCCCGCGGACCGCATGTCCACGGAGAATGCCACCATCCTCCTCAGCTGTGAGCGCTGGCCCCTCATGGTTGACCCGCAGCTGCAAGGCATCAAGTGGATCAAGAACAAATACGGCGAGAACCTCCAGGTCACCCAGATCGGCCAGAAGGGGTAGGTGGCTGAGCACATCGCTTCTCCCTTTTCGTCGTGTGTGCAGAGGGCACAAAAAAGTGTCTCGAGGGGATCTTAGGCCCCAGTGCGTTGTGTCTACCCTCCTGCTTCCTCCACAAGGCTTCTCCTGTTTCTCTTCCCATTTTGGGAAACCTCCCAATGAAAGATGCGTGGGTACCAAGTCTCTGCTTTTCTTTGTCATGAGAAATCGTGTGTGTGCGTGAGTGTGTGCACACACCTGTGTGTGTGTGTGTGTGTGTGCGCGCGCGCGTGTGCATGCGTGAGTGTGCGTGAGCCTCCCGACCCCTCAGGAGTCCTGTCTCCACCGTCCAGCATTCCCTTCCCTTCTGTCCTTGGACACGTCCTCCCTGGTCAGGCACAAATCTGGGTTTCACAAAGTCTCCCTCACATTCAGCCAAACTGTGCCTGTCGCAGCCCATCCTCGAGCCCACTTCTCCGCCCAGTGTTCCCACTTCCGGCCCAGAGCCCCAGAGCACAAACCTAAACATTGTCTCTCCTGGGGAACGATGGGACATTGCAGCTGGAGGCACAGCACCCAAGTCAGTTGTGAACCTTCGAGAGCCCTGGTACCTGCCATGCCGCCTCATACGTACCCGACGGGGGACTTACTACCCAAAGGGACATGAATGACGTGGAGAATGTCTATCCAGCACCCGCCCCAGGCCTCCACACCTCCCACCTCGTGGCTTCATTAACTGTGTTAGAACCTAGCTTGGTATTTTCAGTTCTCAGTTCTTGTTCTGTGCCATCAGGATACATGAGCGGGATAGGACAGGGCCGTGGGGGTAAAGGTAGGGACAGAGATCATTTGTGAGGCGGTTGGGTATGTGCCAATCTTCGTGTTAGGGACCTTATCTCAAATGCTTTCCTTAATCCACACAGCTGATAAGGTTAGCGTTACTGGGACCATTTCACACCTGGGGAGATTGAGGTTCACAGAAGCAAATTAATGTCTGCAAGAGTATACCATATTAATTTTTTAAATATTTTATCTATTTATTTTGAGAGCGAGAGAGAGAGCATGAGCGGGGGTAGGAGCAGAGGGACAAGTTGATTCCTCACTGAGCAGGGAGCCCAACGCGGGGCTTGATCCCACGACCCTGAGATCATGACCTGAGTGGAAACCAAGAATCAGATGCTCAACCAACTGAGCCACCCAAGTGCCCCAAGAGTATACCATTTTAAAAGCTATGCTCATAGCAGCATTATGCACAATATTCAAAATGTGGAAGCAACCCAAGTATCCATCGACAGATGAATGGATGAACAAAATGTGTTATATATCCATATGATGAAATATTATTCAGCCTCAAACAAGAGTGAAATTCTGACACACGCTATAACATCGATGAACCCTGAGGACATTGTGCTGAATGAAATAAGCCAGTCACAAAAGGACAAATACTATATGGTTCTACTTACATGAGGTTCCTAGAGTTGGCAAATCCACAGAGACAGAAAGCAGAATGTTGTTCCCAGGGGGCTGAGAGGATGGGTATGGAGAGTCATCAGTTAAGGGGTACAGAGTTGCAGTTTTGCAAGATGGAAAACTTCTGGAGACGGATGGTGGTGACAGCAGTGTGAATGTGCTTGGTGCCCCTGAGCTGTACAGTTAGAAGCAGCGAAGATGGCAGGTTGTATGTTATGTACATTTCACCGCAATTGTAAATTAATGTATTAAATATTTTTTAAAACTGATGGAGGCAGTGTTTGAAGCAGGTGGTCCTCAGCTAGAAATCCAAGGTTTATCCTCTCCAACACTCAGCCGCCAAGGTGAGGCTTACTGCTCTGGTCGTCTGTCCCAAACGTGGCTGCCCAGAGGTCCAGATCAGCCAGCATTGTTTAAATCAAACACGCAATGTTACAAAAACAGTTAAACAAAGCAAATATAAACTACCAGAATGGATCCCTTCTTCTAGAGAGGGTAAGAGGAGAAATGAATCCCAAGGTATACCAGGGTATATGTTTATCTGTGTCATGGACCAGATAATCTCATCCTAGCCTCTTCCCCACACTTTGATTAAAACATTCCTTTCTAGGGGCGGCCGGGTGGCTCAGTTGGTTGAGCCTCTGACTCTTGGTTTTGGCTCAGGTCATTTGGCTCAGGGGAAATGAACCATGAGAGACTGTGGACTATGGGAAACAAACTGAGGGTTTCGGAGGAGAGAGGGGCGGGTGGATGGGTGAGCCTGGTGATGGTGTTAAGGAGGGCACGTATTGAATGGAGCACTGGGTGTTATACACAAACAGTGAATCATGGAACACTATATCAGAAACGAATGATGTGGGGCACCTGGGTGGCTCAGATGGTTAAGCATCTGCCTTTGGCTCAGGCCAGGATCCTAGGGTTCTGGGATCGAGTCCCACATCGGGCTCCTGGCTCAGCGGGGAGCCTGCTTCTCCCTCTCCCTCTGCCTCTCTCCCTGCTCATGCTCTCTCTCTCTGTGTCTCTGTGTCTCAAGTGAACAAATAAAATCTTTAAAAAAAAAAAAACTAATGATGTACCGTATGGTGACTAACATAACATGATAAAATTAAAATGTATTCTTTTAAAAAAAAGAAAATTGTTACAGGAGAATATTTAATGACGTGGGGAAATGTTTCCAATACATTTTATGTACAGGAACTAAATTATAAAATAAACGTGCTGTATGAATCCAATAGTAAATATAAATTAAATTATAAATAAAATATAATAAAAGGAATCAACTTGAAAATATATCCAAACATACACATTCAACACCAAAATACCAATGACCAATGAAAGGGTCCCATTCATTTTTGTGTCCTTTTTTGTATTTTGTCATGTTTCCTTATTTCTGAAACTGTACAAGATCAAATAAATATCCTTTTAAATAGAGAAAAATGGGCCCACTGAGGTCAGCCCGGGCAGCTGCACCCCCACGTCTTCCATGGAGGCCCCAGTTGTCCTGTTACATTTCCTGTGCATCTGTACCTTGCCACAGGCTCATACTGCCCAACTCTCTCCCCAGCTATCTCCAAACCCTAGAGCGTGCCCTGGAGGCTGGAGACATGGTGTTGATCGAAAACCTAGAAGAGTCCGTTGACCCTGTTCTGGGACCCCTGCTTGGGAGAGAGGTCATCAAGAAAGGACGGTAAGACTCTGCCATGTCGCTGATCCTTCCTGAGGAGCAGGCTCCCAGAAACGTGAGCAGATCTGCTCTTCCCTGAACATCCTCTCCTCAACTCCTGCCACCGGCTTCCTGCGGCACGCACACCTTTCTCACTTCCGCAGAGGGAATACTTAGCTGCCCTTGACTCGTAGAGAAAGTTTCCTGCAATAACTGCTCCCATCAGTCACGTCCTCCTTGACTTCCTCCTACATGGGAACAGTGCACTCTTTTGGAGGAATTCTAGAAAGGAAGTGGTCAAAATGCAGACTGCCTTGTAAGCGTGAGCATTTTATCCAAGCTAGACTCCTGGGTTCTGAGAACTCGGCGCTCTGGCCCTTTGATGAGCCCCTGTTGCTTTGGGGGCTGGCAAGTGATCGAGGCTTAGCAAGCGTCTGGCAGAAGGGAGAGGATGAGAGAGGATGAAGGACAATAGGCACATAGGAGAGAGAGCATTATCATGGAGGGTTGCTTTACCCACTGCCCAGGCCATAAATTGCCTTTCCGTGTCCTTAGGATGTGCTCATTTGCTGAATTAACCATTGCCACCCATAGTTCTCCGTCAGCCATGAAAAAAAGGACGCCCTATTTTTGCAAGCCTATCAAGCACCTTTGTGCGAACTGATGGTGTCCTTTTCTGCAAACACTTTACTGCCATCTGCTGGGAAAGTTTCATAATGTACCAACCTACTTGGACTACAGTGGGAATGGCTCTCCCAACAGCCATGCACGTCAAATCAAACATGGCGGCCGCGGGAGAAAGTCTCTCACCCTCCACTCCCATGCCCCACATGAAGGCAAACAAGGATCTCAGGGCTCAATCTAGACATGCTTGGGAGGAATCCGAATGTGGCCATATTGCTTGCCACGATCTCACAGAAAAACACCTAGAATTCTGTCCCTGAACCGATTCTCATGGGAAAGCAACCCACCTTCACATGACCCTTCGTGTTCCAGATTCATTAAAATTGGAGACAAAGAGTGTGAATACAATCCCAGGTTCCGGCTCATCCTTCACACCAAGCTAGCCAATCCTCACTACCAGCCCGAACTGCAGGCTCAGGCCACCCTGATCAACTTCACGGTGACCAGGGACGGCCTGGAGGACCAGCTGCTGGCCGCTGTGGTCAGCATGGAGAGGCCGGACCTGGAGCAGCTGAAGGTACGTGGGGTATCCACCAAGGAAGGGAGGATGGAAATGCCCGGCCACGAGACCCTGCTCCCCATTCTGGGTGAGGTGTGGGGGCTGCTTTTCCTGGAGCTGAGCAGCATGGTTCTTTGCTAGACTTTGGGGGGTGGTGGGGGCTGGCCATCACCATTTAGCTGCCTGAATGTCCAGTTGGGAAACAGAGACTGGAGCAAGATGAAGAACAGAGAGGCCAAAGACAGCTAGGAGACCAGACACTCTTGTCACCAAGAGCAGAGCCTGGCCCAGGGTTGTGAACGTGCTTGGGCCCACACATGAGTCCAGAAGTAACCACCATGTGAGGAGAGTGTCTTAGTCAACTTAGGCCGCTATAACAAAATACCACGGACTGGGGGACCGTGTTCCCACCCTCACAGAGCTTATAGTCTAGTGGAGGAACACAGAAAATAAATAGCGTAGACAAATAATGTCATTCGAGGTAATGACAAGACTTTCCAAGAAAATAAAGTAGCGTGATATTAAAAAGCCAAGGGGCTAACTTAAACCAGGAAGGTGGGGCGCCTGGGTGGCTCAGTTGGTGAAGCGTCTGCCTTCAGCTCAGGTCATGATCTCTGTGTCCTGGGATCGAGTCCTATATCGGACTCCCTGCTCAGCGGGGAGTCTGCTGCTCCCTATCCCTCTGCCTTTCCCCTTGCTTGTGTTCTCTTTCTTTCTGTCAGATAAATAAAATATTTTAAAAAAGAAGAAGAAGCTAAACTAGCCCAAAGTCACATGACTAATAAATGGTGCATTTGGGATTCAGTTCATCTGCTTGTCTGTTCTCATGCTGTCCTGTCTCCCGCTTCATCCATCTGAAGGAAGAAGCTTGACCCCGTAGCATTTATTTATTCAGGATGCTCAGGGCTTCCCCATCTGACTCTGCTTTACTTGATGTTTGCAGTCAGATCTCACGAAGCAGCAGAATGGGTTCAAAATCACCCTGAAGACGTTAGAAGACAACCTGCTATCTCGCCTGTCCTCAGCATCTGGGAACTTCCTGGGGGACACGGCCTTAGTGGAGAACCTGGAGACCACCAAGCAGACAGCCGCCGAAGTTGAGAAGAAGGTAAAACTGCCCTGTCGGCCAAGGTTGGGCGGCAAGGCCCTCCTCCCAGCCCCTGAGTCCCAAGTTTTTGGAAAAAAAAAACACAAAGTCAGAATTCCCAAGTACCTTTTCCATGTTTCCAAATTCCTTCTAGAAAGTCCAGCGAGGCGGGATTCCTGAGTCGACCAGCTCACACCCCGTGTTAGGGAGTTCCCGCCTTCTGGGAGGTGCGTTTGACAACTCAACTCCATGGAAGTCTGATGAGCATTAAGTCTGTGCCCAGCCTCGTCTTCCATGCCGGGGATGGTAGCTCAGACTTCATCCTCAGCCAGTGTGTGCGGTTGCCCCGAAGCTAAGGAGTCCCACTGCTGTGAGCATTGGCTGGTTCGGCATGATTGCACCCTGAGAAAACCCACCAGCCTGCAAAAATCTCACAAGTCCGATTGCCATGAGGGAATTTCAGTGAATTCTCAGGAAGCTCAGCTCTTAAAAACGGTTGTCATCCTGGGAGATGATGCAGTATATAGCTTCCTTCCTTTATCCCACAATGTTTGGAAGGCTTTTATTTCCCCTGTGGGGGACTGGAAGACAGGACTTGAGGGTGTCCGAGCCTCTCACCCTTTGTGGGCAGGCTGTTGTCCTATGCAGGCTCAACAACATTCCCAGCCCTGCTCCCGGATCAGAGGAGCAATCAAGACCCTGGTTCTGAGCAGGATACTGCTCAGTACTGTAACAGCACACCTTTGAGGGAATACACTCTGTCAGATTATTGGAACTTCTCCAAATATCAAAGCCTCTGTTCCAGGTAGGGACAGGGTAGGAAAAATGAAAAGTAATGATGGGGGCAGGTAGACCAGCTCATGCCCACTCTGGGATAACAGACAATTGAGGTTGGAGGGAGAGACACTAAGAGCAGGGATTTCCAGCCTCGCATCGTCTCCATGGCCAATATGTGACCACTAGGTTTTACTGCTGGTTCTCTGTGGCCTCCATATCTCTAGATAGGATGGTGCAGAGTTTGTACAATAATTATGTAGAAGTTCCACTGTCTTGGGCAAGGGAGATGGGGGGGGTGGACAGAACCCAACTCACATATGGTTATATATGGATAAAAGTTTTAGGGGCACCTGGGTGGCTCAGTCGGTTGAGCATCTGCCTTCGGCTCAGGTCATGATCCCGGAGTCCTATGATTGAGTCCCGAATCAGGCTCCCTGCTCAGCGGGGAGCCTGCTTCTCTCTCTGCCTCTACTGCTCCCCCTGCTCATGCTCGCTCGCTTTCTCCCTCTGTCAAATAAATAAATAAAATCTTAAAAAAAAGTTTTAGTCAAGGAAATGTCTCAGGTTCTAGGAATAAACACCTAGATAGGTAAAGGTGCCAATATCTAAAAGATGGGAGCAGAAATGGATTTAGGGATGAGAAGAAATTATTATTTTAGTTTGTGTTGTGTTGAGTTTGGAGTGCCTCTGGGCCATTCACACAGGTCTGTCCCATGGGTTTTTGGATATCTGATCTTGGCTGGTGATAAAGTGCTGACAGTCATCAACAAGTAGCTGGTCATTGAAACCAGGAGTGGATGAAGTCACTGGGGATATGTGTGCACAATGATGAGACTGGAAGTAGAGCATGGAAGAAGACTAATACATATTAAGAGAAATACAGAAGATGTAAACTGTGGAATAGAGCAGAGAGATGGGAGGAAAAGCAGGGAAAATAAGAGATTGTGAGAGAAAACATTTCAAGAAGGCATGCCAGTGGTGTTGAATGATGCTGAGGACTCAAATAAGATATGGCTGAGATGTGGCCACTGAACTTTGCAAAAAGGAGTCATCAGTGATCTTGGGGAGAATGATTTCCATGAAAGCAGAAGCCAGACTACATTAGAATGAGAGCAAATGGGAGCTGAGAAAGGGAAAGTGAGTATAAATAACCCTTTAAAGAAGCCAAACTGTGAAATGGGAGAGAAAGGATTGTAACTTAAGAAGGACATGGATCCCCTGAGATGGGAGAGACTGAATGTACTAAGATCCTGGCCAGGAGTTGGGAGGATGCATGGATTATAAAGGAAGAGCAGGAGGCAAGAAGAGAAGGTGAATTTACAGAAAGAAGAAGAAATGATTAGTACAGTGGGGTACATAAGAAAGGGGAAATGCCATTCAGGTCACAGATGGTGAGCTTCTCTTTAGAAAGATGGAGAGGGGCACCTGGGTGGCTCAGTCAGGGAAGCATCTGTCTTTGGCTCAGGTTATGATCTCGGGGTCCTGGGATGGAGTCCTGCATCAGGCTCCCTGCTCAGCAGGGAGTATGCTTCTCCCTCTGCCTGCCCTGCCCCTCCCCCCTGCTCGTGCACTCTCTCTCTCTCTTAAATAAATAAAATCTTTTAAAAATTAAATAGAAAGACGGAGAGCTAGCTCCAATGTGATAGGGGCTGGGGACAAAAAGGAGCCTAGAAATGAGATCCATGATCCATGGATCCATGTAGGCAGCTGAGCTAGGGAGAGAGAGACTTAAAGGAATCAGGAGAGGAAGAAATGAAGGAGAGTCCTTCCTGTTGGTCTTTATATAAACGGGGAGAGCCGTGTCATGTTCACCTGCTGGGAGTAAAGGAGTGGTGGTGAGGTAGGTAGCTTGGGGAGCAGAGTAAAAGTTTGCAATGGCTGAAATAGGAATGAAAGGTGACTCAGGAAACACAGTTAATGGACAGCATTAAGAACCCAGGTGAGCTTGAAACGTATGAATCTCAGAACGCCATTCTGAATAATTGTATGATTTTTGTTCAGTCCAGCCTCTTCTGAGAATCTATGTCTTCAATTACTGAATTTAACTGATTTACATTTATTAACATTATTGATAGAGTGAATTTCTTCCTACTATCTTAATTTGTGTTTTCTAGCCACCACGCTTAGTTTTTCTCCTTCCTTTTTCTTTATTCTCCTCTCTATCCTTTGCTGATTTTGAAGTTATTTACTTTGGGTTTTTTTTATTATGCTATGTTAATCACAATTCACGATTCATTATTTGCGTATAACACCCGGTGCTCCATGCAGAACGTGCCCTCTTTAATACCCATCACCAGACTAACCCATCCTTACCCCGCCCAGAACCCTCAGTTTGTTTTTCAGAGTCCATCGTCTCTCATGGTTCGTCTCCCCCTCCGACTTACTCCCCTTCATTCTTCCCCTCCTGCTATCTTCTTCTTCTTCTTCTTCTTCTTCTTTTTTTACATATAATGTACTATTTGTTTCAGAGGTACAGATTTTGATTCAACAATCTTGCACAATTGTTTTATTTTATTGATGAATCTTATTTCATTTATATGTGAAATTATATTTCATTTTATATGTGACTTAACAATATATATATTGACTTAACAAGGTCTAATATAAAGTGATATATCTAGCCTCTTCCAAACAATATAAGGACTTTAGAATACTTTGATCATCCTTTTCCATCTTCTGTTACTGTTTTATATTTTAGTTCTACCTACTATTCCCAAGGTGGCCATTTTTTATGGCCTTTGTTATTTAGATTAGCCATATATTTAAGAAATTCTCAGACCTTGTTTCTTCCTTTTGGATTCAATCATTTTCTAACTGAAGCAAATAATTATTTCTTCAAGGGCCTGTGGATAGTAAATTCACTTTGATGATGATGAGCTCTGGTCTTTCATCGATTTTGGAAAATTCTCAACTATTATAGCTCCAACTGTTGCTTCTCTCTATTCTCTACTTCCCTCTGTTAGATGTATTTTGAATCTTCTCATTCTGTCTGCCAACTCTCACAACGTCTTATATATTTTTCATCTTTTTTTTTTCTCTCTGAGCTGCTTCTGTTGCAGTTTCCTCAGATCCGTCTTCTGGTTCGCATATTCTCTTTCCAATGCTAGTCCATTATTTAACCTTTGCACTGCTTTTTCATTTAAATAACTGAATTCTTATTTTTAGAAGTCCTAGTTACTTCTATGTTTTGTCTCAGGCAATATGTCTTCCTACTTACAATGTCCTGATTTTATGCTTTCTTTCGTCTCTACTGCTTTTTTTTTGCTTTAAATTTTTTATTGTTATGTTAATAACCATACATTACATCATTAGTTTTTGATGTAGTGTTCCATGATTCACTGTTTGTGTATAACACCCAGTGCTCCACACAGAACGTGCCCTCTTTAATACCCATCACCAGGCTAACCCATCCCTTCCACCCCCCACCACTCAGCAACACTCAGTTTGTTTCCTGAGATTAAGAATTCCTCATATCACCATGAGAGATGATGGACTCTGAAAAAGAAACTGAGGGTTCTAGAGGGGAGGGGGGAGGGGGATGGATTATCCTGGTGATGGGTATTGAGGAGGGCACGTTCTGCATGGAGCACTGGGTGTTATGAACAAACAATGAATCATGGAACACTGCACCAAAAACTAATGATGTAATATATGGTGATTAACATAACAATAAAAAATTTTAAAAAAAAAGAATTCCTCATATCAGTGAGGTCATATGATACATGTCTTTCTCTGATTGACTTATTTCACTCAGCATAACACCCTCCACTTCCATCCACGTCGTTGCAAATGGCAAGATCTCATTCTTTTGATGGCTGCATAATATTCCATTGTGTATATATACCACTTTTTCTTTATCCATTCATCTGTCGATGGACATCTTGGCTCTTTCCACAGTTTGGCTATTGTGGACATTGCTGCTATAAACATCGAGGTGCACATACCCCTTTGGATCCCTACATTTGTATCTTTGTGGTAAATACCCAGTACTGCAATTGCTGGATCGTAGGGTAGCTCTATTTTCAACTGTTTGAGGAACCTCCATACTGTTTTCCAGAGTGGCTGCACCAGCTTGCATTCCCACCAACAGTGTAGGAGGGTTCCCCTTTCTCCACATCCCCGCCAGCATCTGTCGTTTCCTGACTTGTTCATTTTGGCCATTCTGACGGGTGTGAGGTGGTATCTCATGGAGGTTTTGATTTGGATTTCCCGGATGCCGAGCGATGTGGAGCACTTTTTCATGT